GTAAAGTCTTCCCCTTCCTCAGCACTGGGGATTTAACTCAGGGTCTTCACACTAAGCCACATTCCCACCCCTTTTATTTATTTATTTATTTTTGTACCGGGAATCGAACTCGGGACCTTGCTCTTTCCAGGCAGGCGGTGGAACCACTGAGCTAAATCCTTGGCCTTCCCACCCCTTCTAAATATTTTTTTTTCTTTTTTCTACTTTGAGACAGGCAGGGTCTTATTAAGTTGCTCAGGCTCGGCTCTATCTTGTGACCCTTCTGCTTCTGTCTCCTAGATTTCTGGAATTGCAGGCAAAACCACACCCAGCTATAAAGTTGCCTTTAAATCCAGTTAGTCATGGCCTCATTAAAAAAAAAAAAAAATCATTTTTTTCTTCTTTTTTTTTTTTTTTTTTTGGTCCCGGGGATGGAGCTTGGGACCTTGCGCTTGCGAGGCAGGCACCGGAACCACTGAGCTAAACCCCCGGCTCTCTGCTCTTCTTTTTATGGGGTAAGAATAGTCAACACAAGATACAACCTTTTTTTTTTGGTACCAGGGATTGAACTCGGAACCTTGTGCTTTCGAGGTAGGCGCTGGACCCACTGAGCTAAATCCCCGGCCCACAAGATTAACTTATAAACAGAGTTTTAAGTGCACAGCATAGTAGTATAGTATTGCTCACCATGTGCAGAATTTTACAGCAAATCTCTAAAGCTTACCTTGCATAATGGAAACTTCATACCTGTTAAATATTAGCTCTCCATTTCCTCTCCCACAAACCTCTGGCAGCACCATCCTACTTTGTCTTCTGAGTCTCCCTCAGTGCTGAGATTACAGGTGTGCACAACCGTGCCTACCCAGTTAGTGGGTTTTCTGGTGTTTTGTATGTTAGTCTGTTTTTATACCTGTTAAACTCTTCTGCTTATTACATCCTTGCTTTAGAGTTTCTAGTTGAGAGAGCTGATTCCTTCTCTTATTATTTTCCAGATATTTGTGGCTTTATTACTTAGTCTCACAGAGACATTTTTAGCAACCCTTCCTATCCACTTTTGGGGCTTTTGATATTTATTAAATCTTTACAGATTATGTTTATTGGAATGGATGTCCTTGCAGTCATTTTCCTATCCAGTAATATTGATTATTTCTCTGATTATTCACATCTCTTTTATGTCCTCAATAGTGTTTTATAGTTTTCTTCCTAAAGGCCACACACACTTTGTTAAATTTTATTTGTAAGTATTTAATGTTACTGCCACTTTGAAAATAGGATTCTTTCCTTCCATTGTCATCAAGGGTTGGCAGACTTTTCTGAAAATACCTTAGAATCTTTCTATGGGCTCGATGGTCTCTGTCATGTGTTCTTTTTTGTTGTTGTTCACAATCCTTTAAAAATGTAAAGTCCTTCTTAGCTAGCTGGAGACCATATACAGAAAAGGGGCCAGGTTGTCATTTGCCAACTTGTGGTATGGACACTGTTTGATCCACTCATATTGAGAATGTCTTGGTCATGTCATTTGGAACTAGCTGTCAAATCTCAGGATTTTCATATCTCTTGATACACTTAGGATTTGGTCTTTTCAAATTCTCCGTTTTCCAACATCATTGTCCAGTGATAGTGGTGACGTTAATGTGCCCAACTTGTTTCTAATATTAATCTACCCACCCAAGCATGGGTCAGTTTGATGTGATGAGTATTGAACAAAAATGATTGTTAGATATTCGGTACACATTCTACAAATTTGGAGACCCTTTAATATGCAAGGCAGGTTTAGCATTGTGAGGGTGTGGGTCCTCTTGTTCCTACAGCTGTCTAGTTGGGCAGTAGGTGGACGTTGCCTTACTGTATTGCGACCATCTTAATGGTCCTCAAATACTGTGGTGAGGTGGCATCCAGAGAAAGTATGGGCAGGAGTTGCCACTGTAGAAGGGGGTGAGATGCTCATTTTGGGGGGATAGCGTGTACAAGAGCCAGGATCTAGCAGAGGTTTGACAAATTTAAGGAGCTGAAGGGACAGCACACCAGCATTAAGTGAGTCAGGGAAGGAGAGTGACAGGGTTGCCTTTCAGCCTGGTGAAGGAATTTGGATGTCCCTCTAAAGCTAATTAGAAAGCCACCCAGAAGCACATAGAATGATCAAGGACAAATGTTTTGGACCACTAAGATGGAAGAAGAAGCCAGGTGTGGTAGTGCATGCACTCTGGGAGGCTGAGACAATTGAAATTTGAGCCCAGTCTGGACAACCTAGCAACTTACAGAGATCCTGTCTCAAAAAATAAAAGGGCTGGGATATAGCTCAGTGTAAAGGCCCTGGGTTCAGTCCCTGTCGCCACAGAAAATAAAAGGATTTTGGTGGCTGTTGGGGTGATGCTGAGAGGCACTGGTGGCATGTACTGTAGAGAGGCCATGTGAGGGAGAGAGGACACAGGCTGGGGATTCGTGGTGCTCGGAGAGTGTGTGTCCCCTCACCTTGCCCCTTCCCATTGTGGGCAGCCCCGTCAATGCTCATCACGGGGTCTGAGAACTGTGATGATGGCTACAGTTCAGCAGGAGGATGGCCACCTGCTGCCCAGCCAGGCAGCTACAGGGGCCAGAGGCAGTACCCCTGGAAAAGGCTGCCCCTTGCAGCTCCAGCCTGGCTGTGGCACTGCTCACAGGCAAGCCAGGGAGGGTAGCCAGAAGCTGAGCAGGGAAAGGATAGCTTTATGTCTCATGGTATAAGCAATTTGGACGGATTAGAAATAATCATTAGAGTTGGAATCCTGTTCCACTGCTTATGGCTGAGTGTCCTTTGTTAAGATACTTTACTTCTTTGAAGCCCAGTTTGTAGAGTTAATGGGCAAATCAAGTGATATTACAGTCAGTGGCCAGAAATAATTGCCATTTGAATAATGAGTTCCTGCCACATGTAGACACTTAGCAATGGAAAACTGCTGTTATTACCACTGTTGTCGTCATCATTGTGCTTGTTCATCCCTCATTGCCTCCTTCCCCTTTCTTTCTTAGGTGGTCAGGACAAGACCATGCGTGTTTGCTCATTGCTTTCTGTTTTTGCAAGTGGCATGTGAACACCTTGGGATGGGGAACTTTACCTAGTGCTAGAGTCCCTGGGATATTTTCCTTCTTATTTTAACACAAATTCTGATGCATACCCTCAACTCCACTCTGCCCTGGCCACTTTCCTTTCATCTTCTGCATTCTCCATGTGGACCTTGGCATTTATCCACCCTGACTTTGTGCTGTATGGATAAGCCCTCTGATCTCAGGCTGGTGCATAGTTCCTGCCCTTGAGGTGTACTTCATCAGCCTTGATGCTTGGTGTGGAGTGCTCTGGGGACTTGTCACAGAACAGTTACAGGGATATATTTCTTTGCCAGCATTCCCTGTCCTCTTCTTTCTTTCCCCATTTGCTGTCCTTGACAGAGGTTCTCTGCTGCCTTTCCCTGGACCTCTGTCCTCTACGCTAGAGGATGTGCAGCAGCCCCCTGCCCTCACCCCTCAATGCTGCTGACTCACCACCAGCTGTGAGGGCCAGCAAGGCCTCCAGACTTTGCCACTTTGCCACTTTCCCCCTGGAGAGTGAAATTAGCCCTGTGGGTTGAGTACAGCTGATTTAAACAGCTGTGGATGTGCTGTGGATGAAAATGTAAACCCGCATAGATGCCTCAGAAGAGCATGCCAGGTATACCAGCTCTCTCTCTGATGCAACTTGATGTTCAGGGAGCTATTTATTTATTTCCTTTCTGCCTTCCAACTACAGAACTCTCAAATTTTGCATAATCCTCTCTTATTTGTTTACATTTCACTTTTCCCCAGCTCATTCAAAGTGTTTCTGAGTGAAGTGTCTGTGGCAGTTCTGTGAGCAGTGTCTCCCGCCAGCATCTCCTCCCTCTCCTCTGCTGGCTCTGCACTTGCAGGGCAGCCTGCAGGCTGGGTAATTCGCTCTCAGTGGGAAATTTAACTTGTGGTTAAGATCTGATGTCACCAGAATCAGGCCAGCAAATGTGCTGTGCCCTCCCCACCCCCGCTGCTTACGTTACACTTTTCTTTATAGAAATCCAGGCATTCTGAGGCATGTTGTATTGTGCGTCTGTCAGCCCTTGTATGGATCCCGTGCTCCCTCAGTTTTGAAGCCAAATTCTGTAAATGCTTATTCATCGAGGGTGAATTGCTTTTTACTGTCCAGCTCATAATTCATGCTTTGAAATTGGGATTTGATTTTCTGCTGCTTCACCAAAAGTAAGCTGGATAGATGTTCCAGAAACTTCTTGCTTTTGACTTTCTCTGAGATTTTTTTTTTTTTTTTTTTGGAGACAAGGTTTCACTGTATAGCCTAGGCTGTCCTCAAACTTGTGATCTTCCCACCTCAGCCTCTGGCGTTCTTGGATTATAGTCTTGTGCCGTGCCCAGCTTAGATTTTTCTCTTCATTTGAGAGGGTTAGGTTGTTTCTTTCTTGAACAGTGTCAGAGTTGGTGAGATTTTTTCCAGGTTCATCAAGTCCATCTTGGGTCTAGTAGTGCAAACTCCTCTCCCACTTCTCATCTTCTTGTCTCTTGTCACATTACCTCCTTTTTGGGGGAGAGAGGGAAGGTATGAATTTCTTTTTGATTTGTGTTGTCATTTGATTGATATATTTTGGTTCCTTTTAAATCAGCCCCTCATTTGCACCAGCCATGTTTCAAGTGCATTGTAGCCACACGTGACCAAGGATGACTGTTGGACAGGACAGACACTGAGCATTTCCATCACTGCAGGCAGACAGTTGTGTTAGATAGTGCTAGGTTGTGAGGTGTGTACACCACAATGCATGTCAGAGGCGTACTGGAGCCATGTTTTCTCCCTACTATTGTGATACTTGTGACAATCCAAGGGGCTTTCAGAAGCAGTGGCTGTAAATGAAGAGGGTGAAAATTCTAGATGTTTGGGCATAACTTACACTGTGACTTTTTTCTGTGCAGGGAACTTAGTGACCTGTGTCATGTGCTTTGAGGTGATTTGGCTGCTTTATCTCTTGCAGGTGCTAAAAGATGGTGCTCATGGGTTTCATCTCCATCTGAGAGTCGGGTGCTCCAGGCACCAGAAGCTGAGTCTCATCCTAGGCTCCTGGCTTGAATAAACCTTCACTGCAGCCACTCTGGGACAGCAGCAGTGCAGAACTGCTCAACTTCTCTTAATGATGGGTATTGGCAAGAACACTACATCCAAATCAGTGGAGGCTGGGAGTTCCACAGAGGGCAAATACGAAGATGAAGCAAAGCACCCCACCTTCTTCACTCTTCCGGTAATAGTGTTGCACTTTTTCATTCTTCTGTCCCTGTGAAGGTTTCTGTATGGACTTAATCATGGGATGGGCTCTAACACTTGTGTTTTCAGTGATGGGGGCAGCACCGAGATAAGCATCTTCCACGGGCATTTTCTGGGCTGAGCCTCCTCTCAGGAGTTGGCCCCCGTTCTCGGCCTGGATCTCCTGCTGGAATTACCTGCAGGAAGGAAGCCCACACTGCTGGCAACATGGTAAAACGGCCCAGTGCTCACTGTGTACTGGAACATGTTGAAGGCTTAATTTTCTCTCCAAAAATGTGCCTATATGAAGTGACCTGTAATCCAGCTTCTACTTGTATTGCAAGTTGGGAGGATGAGTGCTATTTGGAGTCCACTGGCTGTGCTTGTTATTGTGATGGCAGCATGTAGGACAGAGATGGTTTTATCTGAGGCAGCCATAACAGGCAGAGAAGGCTGCTCTCACCTGCCCATTACATTCAATGCCAGTATTTTTTCCCAAATGTATGATTATACTTTGATATATATATATCACTTTACCCATAAAGGGAAAGTAAAAAGTGTAGAGAGAGCATGCCTCAAGAAGTTTTTCTCTGAGGATTGGAAATGTGGTTGATGGCCCGAAGACCATTCTAGGGTTGCCTAACTCATGGCACACAGCAGGCTACTTGCATTCATATTTTGATTTTTACCTTGTTAGTTCACAGAGAGGATTATACAGCTACCATCAGTATTGTCTTCTTTGCCTGTACAGTGAAAGTTTTGAAACTGGGATTTCTGTCCTATTGATGGGTTAGATTGACACGTTTTCTAGGGGGAGAGACAGTACAGCTTATTCATTAATTGGTTGTTAAATTTGAATTAGACCAGCTTTGAGGAGTAAGAGGGAGCTCCCTGGATGGGTACTGACATGTGTCAGTGAGCCCAGCAGGTGATTCACTGCCACTTCCCTTCACCTACCAAGAGCTTGACTATGCCTTCACCACCCACTTGCCTTGCCATTATTTTATTTTTTATTTAATTTAATTATTTTTGGTTTATCTTTCTATATTTTTTTTGTTTCAAGACAAGGTCTTGCTGTGTAGTTTAGGCTGGCCTTGAACTCACTGTGTACGCTGGGCTGCCCTCGAACTCAACAGCAATCCTGTTTTAGTCTCCCGAGTGCTGGGATTACAGTTAAGCACTACCACAACTGGCTAAAGTTTACTTGCTTTAGCAGTGAAATTGTAATATTTTGCAGTTAGCACTTGAATCCACCAGTGCATGCAGACATCAGCAGTTCATTGTCCCTGTTGTCTTTCATATCCCTCTCCTGCCATTTCATCACCTTTACTAAAATGCACTGTCGGTCTGCAGAATAACTCTTAGTCTTTGTGCTCTGAAAATTACTGTGCTTTGCTCTCAATCCTGAATGAATGCCTGCTAATTGCACACTTGAGCCTCCTGGTCTCCTTTTCTCTTTTGTTGCTTCCTTGTGATTTGAGTAACCTTCCCCAGTGCTGCCTGCTGGGTGACTCCCCAGGATTTCCAGTTACTTGGCTTCTGTACAATCTTGTCTTTTCGCTGATTTTTTTTCCCCCCTCTAGTAGTGGAAATTGAACCCAGGACCTTCATACTGAGCAACATCCCATCTTTTTTTCTGTTTTTTATTTTGAGGTAGAATTTCACTATGTCTCTACGTTGCTCAGGCTGGGCTAGAACTCATTGATGCTCCTGCCTCAGCCTCTCAGAATACAGGGATTATTGGCTTGCACTACCATGCCAGCTTTTATTTAATTTTTATTGCAATGATTGTACTTCTTATTTCTATAATTTCTGCTTATTTTTATTTCTTAACTTCTTATGCACATGTATTTTTTATTTATTCTTTGTTGCAGGGTCTCACTGTGTAATTCAGGCTGACCTTCAACTCACTGTGCAGCCCAGGCTGGCCTCAAATTCACAGTGATCCTCCTGCCCCAGCCTCCCCAGTGCTGGGATTGCAGGTGTGTGCTACCACGCCTGGCCTTTTGTGTGTATTTTTCAGTGTTCCTTCATTTAAGTCACTGGAGACATTAACATACTTATTTTAAGTCTCTCCCAAGTTCTTCTCTTTTCCTCTGCAGTTTTTTGGAATTTTCTTCTCTCTTTCTGTGCACCTACAGGGTTGCATTTTCCCGGGCTGGCTAAGTCTAGAACTGGGCCTTACAGTGCAGAGCTTGTTATCACCCCTGGATATGAGCCTGATAGGAATGGGGAGGGAGGGACCCACCTGGCCCCTGGTGTTGACCCTTGAATCAACTCCATCCCCACGTGGGCAGGGCTGAGTCCCTGGAGTCCCAGTTCCCTGCTGGAGCAGCCACAGCTTCATGGCTGCGGGGCTGCAGCCTTCCAAGGTCTTAGCCATGTGGGTCTTTGTGAAGGGTCCATTTATTGCTTTATGTTTCTTATATGTGGAAATGTTTGCCTTTTTAACCTGCTTGATTTTGAGTTTTTCCCCTGTATGTTACATTTTTTAAAGATGGTGGTAGGAGGAAGCAGATGTTAAATACTTAAATTTGTCAATCTTAGGGCAACCAGTGGCTGATTCTGTGAAGAGAAATAAATCCAGGAAGGCAGGGGAGGAGTAGTGAGGAATAGAATGTGAGGCCAGGCAGAGGTCATACAGGAACTGCAGGCCACTCATTAATTTTTTTTAATGCATTAGTGTGTCTTATAGGTTCTGGAGTCTGGGAAATACTGTAGCAGTGAATAGGCAGACAAACTTCTCCGTCTCTGACCTCAGTACTTCCCCCCTGGTGAGGAAGATAAGCAGAACATGATAGTAATAAGTCGCATGTACAGATGATGTTAGATCTCAGTAAGCACTAAGGAAAAACCAGGGAATGTGCTCGCTTTGGCAGCACATACACTGAAATAGAAAGAACTGGGGAAGAGGGTTAGGGTGTAGAAAGACTGCATGGACAGGCCCACCAATAAGGACAGGCTTGGAGAAAGCTTGTTATGACTATGTGGGGACCAAGTGCAAAGGTCCTGAGGTAGGCAGCTGGGTGCCTGGTGTGGGGTCCAGCAGGTGGGGAGGGGCCAGCTGGAGAATATGTAGGCCCCAGGACCTGATAAAGATTTTGGCTCTTCCTGAGTTTTGGAAAAGGGTGGGAAGGCTTTGATCAAAGCAGACAGGGACATGCTCTGCTTAGTTTTGAAAGGGTCCCTCTGGCTGCAGAGTGGGAAGCAACTACAGAGTAAAAGCAGGAGGCCAGGTAGGAGCTGCCTGCACAGACACAGTTCCAACCTCGAGGAGGAGGTGCTCGTGGCCAGTGCTGGAGGAGACCTGGCTGCTGGGCCAGGTAGGAGCAGCAGGAGGCGGCAAGGGAAACTTGCTGCTGCTTCACTGAGCATCAAGAAGGGCAGGTTGGCCCATGCTGAGATAGCGAAATCTTGAGGATGACCAGGATTGATGTGGGTGTCATCGAGCTTGTGGTCTTGCCTTCGGGAACATCAGTCTTGGGGGTAGAAAATTGAGTTTGAGATTGTGGTGCTCAGGAGGAAGTGTGGGTAGAGCTGCTTCTGGGAGAGAGCAGTGTGGACATGGTGTTTAAATTAGGCCAGGGAACTGGGGGTGGGGGTGCAGCAAAGGGGATAGGTACTGGGGTAGTTGGTGAGGTTGGAGGAAACCAGAAAGGCTCCGTCCTGGAAGCCTGAGGAGGAGGCTCGGCTGCTGGCATGGCCCCATGTGTGGGGCTCTGCCTTCCAGACAGGACAGTGGAGGTGCAGGTATGCACAGGAACAGCTCAAGTGATGCAGGCCTCGGCTGGGCTAGGAAAGAAGCAAGGGAAATGGCAGGGCTCAGGACAGTGAAGTGCGTTAGAGTCAGTGGTTTGGGGTCATTTCTTGTGCTGCAGCTTACTGTACATGTGCATGGAGGTTTTTGATAGTTTTAAATGAAATGAGGGATGTGAGTTGTGTATCAATTTCTATCACTCTGCTCTCTTTCCCTACTAATATGTTGCAGATAGGTTCTCTGTGTACCCATGTCAGTATACAGAGCGACTCATTCTTTTTCGTAACTGCAGAGCAATCCATGAGATGGATATACTGTAATTTAATTTCTTTCTTTCTTTTTTTTGGAGGTCCTGGGGATCGAACTTGGTACCTTGCACTTGCAAGGCAGGTGGCGGCACCATTGACCTAAATCCCTGGCCTGTACTATAATTTAATTTCTGTTGATGGATGACTAGGTTGTTTCTAATATTTTTCTGTTACGAATTGCACTGGACTGAATAAGCTTGCACATCAGTAATTTCACTCAGATGTAATTGAAGGATAAATCTCCTAGAGTGGGATTGTGGGCCCGAGGGGCAAGCCCCGGGAAGGGGGCGGGGCACACACTCCTTACAAACAAGGGAACCCGTCACATTTGCAGAGGGGCAGAGCCTGTTTCCCGTTTGCTTGGCTAGCAGAGAACTGGTCTCAGCCAGTGTGGCATTGTTTAATTTGCATCTTACAAGGGAAGTGGGACCTCTTTTCAAATGTTGAGGGGCCATTTCTATTTCCTTGATGGTTTTCCTGTTGGGATGTGTGACTTGTTTCTTAGTGGTTTCTGTCTCTTTGACATTCTTTACATATCAGAATCTAGTAAGCGTGTCCCTTCCTGGTGAGTCCTGGTGCCAGCTGGGCACCTCCAGAATCGGTTCTGGAGCCAGTCTGAGGACCAGGTTCACAGGGAACATTATCTTAGCTTGTTTTCTGTTGTTGGTATTGCCCTACCACAGACAGGGTAGGGTCAGTTAGAAAGAAAACAAGTTCATTTTGGCTCATGGTTCTGGTCCCTGTTTCGTAGGATGGGGCTACATCTGGTGATAGCCCTTTTCCTTCAGAGTCTGGAAGCCATGCAGAGCCTTGCACGTCAAAGCAGGGAGTGTGTTGGAGCCTGGCTTTTCTAGCACAGCTACTCTCAAGGCAACTCCTTAATCGGCTAATCGCATGATTGGATTATCCCTTCACGAGGCTGGTTTTCTAATC